CTATTTTTTCTGTTTAAATATATTTTACCTTGTCCGTTCTTGTGCAATTTGCGCCCCCACGTCGCAGGGGCTGTGGGGGTTTATTTATACCGCAGGTTTTCATTTTATAGGGGTTATTACAAAATAAACATTATAAAATCTAATTTTATAATCTTTCAAAGAAGCGGGATTCGTTGGATTTGTACTTCGGGAGCAAGGGAAGTTCTGTCGAACTAAACTTCGACCAATTTTTTTCAGCATATCTATGTTTTTACGCACCAAAGTTTCCTCGATTCTTGAAATCGACATTTTGGCAGTAATTTAGAGCTTATAGTTCAAACTTATTTCTTAACTCTGCGAAATATTCCTATGAAAATTTTTGCAGACCCTCTTAAAACATTTTCTGGCGTTCCTTTTTGCTTTAAAAACGTTAAATTCGAATAATTTTTACATTTCAAAGAGGCATTCTTAAAAGGTGTCGAACGTTTTTGTCTCCCAAATGCAATTAAGGGAAGTATTGTAACTCACCAACAGTGTAATGACGCCATTTCGGTTGGCAACACCATTTAAATTGTATGTTACATACTGCTATACTTGTATTTTATGAATCTACCTCGATTTTGTTTATTATTGTCATTAAGACCCACCACTGACCCGGAAATGACCGGCATTCAGGCAAGACTTCTATCATTACGGGTACTAAGACCAAGTAATGATATGCATTGATTAGATTAACAGAACAACTTTCGAGATTCTAGAATTACAGCATACAAATTAGTCTGCTATCATTCTCTAATCTCACCCCATCCCCAAAAGTCTAGCGTAACTACCGACCATTTATCCGCGCATCACTTGAAAATTGACCTATTTTAAGACCCACCACTGACCCGGAAATGACCGGCATTCAGGCAAGACTTCTATCATTACGGGTACTAAGACCAAGTAATGATATGCATTGATTATTTGTATTTTTATTTTCTAAACCTTTTTATCCTTTTGGTGGACTTGTAGGGACACGTTCTGCCTTGCATAGGGAGGATGCCGGGTTCGATTCTTGGCAGCGTTTCCATTTTTTTTATTGATCAAATCAAGAGAAATTTTCTTGAATTTTTGAAATACAATATTGATTTGACATACGTGTTCTTACCGAAAGGTTTCTCAGAACATTCTTCAAAGGGAAAACTCACTAGAAACATAAACATTAATCGTCGAATTATTTTAATGTACATATGAACGGAGATGAATATACGAGTAGTCGAAATGAACCATTTATTGATATTATATTTTCTCGTTGGTTATCTGCTTTAAATAGATTTCGTGTTGTCCGTATCTGTGCGGACTGCGTCCCATATTTTGCGTGCCTCGCGGCATGATTGACAGTTCACACATATTTTTAAGTTATGGCGATGTTGCTTTTTGTTTTTATAACACATTTTAAACCATTCTTAAGATGTGGTAGATAAGTTTTTTATGATACGCGTGTGTTACTTAACGTAAGTCATTTAAGACAAGCACCGATTCGGTCTTACATTTCGGTGGGCTAAAACTTTTCTCGCGTGTCTTATTTGTATTGTAACACACTACTTGTACAATAAACAATACCTTATTAAGCTGTAGTTTTTAATGTGAAATTACAGCGGCAACGGTAACTTGAAGTGCTTTGTGGTTAGATCTGCGTCACATTTAAAAAAGCAGTAATGCGTAACCACTGATATCATAGATATTTGTGGCTTGGACAGGATAATTCAATAAACAATAACAAGATCAATCAAAGCATAAGCGTAACTTATTGATCGCACGATAGTTACGGATTTCACCCTCACAAATATTTGTTTGTTTCTACAAAGTCTGTAACTGTCGGTTAAAACTAGGAATTATTTTTTATTCTTTAAAAAAAAATAGGTGCCAAATACATTTAGTAAATTTTTGTGTACTAATAAAATTTTATGGCCCTGTTACTTCCATTTATGTATTAATTATTAGTCGAAAACTGTCCCGGTAGGAAACATCTATCTTTCACATACGACGCCTGTCGGTTTAAAATCGGCGTAAATTTCAGGGTTGCATTTAGGATAAGTTAATCGTCAGAGATTCATTGAAAGTCAATTGCATGCGACCTACAAACACAAGTTTATATTCTATTACTGTACGCGACCCTTTCAGGTGCCTCAGTTAAATTCGTTATAGAATAAAACAAATCCGCCCCTGTTTACCATTTGTCCACCACAAAGCTTCGAGCGAGGTTTCCAATATATGGTTTTACTTTTCGGTTGTAAATTTTTATTACTATACAAAACAAATGTTCCCAATCACAATAATTTACTGGCTGCTATTTCACTCAAATTTTCCCCGTCGAGTTATAATTAACACAATAAGTATTACATTTTTAGATTTTTACACAATTCAGCTCAGTACCGGTTAAAACCGGAGAGGTTAATAAGTTTTCAGCCACCGCTGCGTGACGAATTACCAAACGCTGACGCTGTTAAAGAATAACCATTTCTTCTTTGGCCACACCAGTGAGAAGTAAATGCATTGTAAAGTAATCACATTCAAATATTTATATCAAGTAGAAAGTTGTTTTCTTCTTCTAAATCTTGACGTTTATACGGTAGTTGAAATGCGAAAACCGTAAAACCGATTGACACTTGACACTACAAAGAAACGGATAGTTTATGGCTTTTCGTTTAAATTCGTTTTGTTGTAATTGGTAAACCAGGTGACTTCTTGGAGCTAAAATAAAGAAAATTCTAAAAGAAACGTTGTTGCCCCACTAGTTGGTTGGTTTTTGTTACTAGTAGCAAGGAATAGGTGTCCAACCCACACGACCATTTAATTGTACCAGGTGTTCTGTGAACCTCCTTAACCCCCTTTTTGTTCCACAAATAACTGTTACCTACGTATCGGTATGTTGACAAACTTCCGGTAAAAAAAGTCGATACGAATCGATTTTAAAAATGTTTAAAGATTTGTTTTAGTTTTTTTTTTTTAAGTTTATTTAGTTCAAAATTTAATCCTTAAACCAAGTGTCTTAATGGTTGTCGTTTTCAACGGAATATTGTCAAAAATTCTCAAAATGTCACATTTCCACATAATTTTATTCCTTTAACGCCGTTAAGTCGTATCGGTGCCCAACGATTGAAGTTGTATTACCATAAACTTGTTTACATCCGGGCCTACTATCACATATCACAAACATGAGCTTGACATCATTAAATATGTAAATATAAAACAAAAAAATCAGTATTGACTTGTATACTTAAAACGGTATTTTTGTATCCACTAAAATGTTATTGCCCTGTGAAGTAACGACCGTAATAACTGTGCAAACAGATTCAAGTGACAGTGTGTCAGTAGTAGGTAGAATCCCGTGCCAGGGACGTACTTTTAAAATTCCATTTTAAATTTTATTGATTTTATAAATGCAGTAGTTAGTTTTGACTGTATTGTTTGTAGTGAACAGAATGCTAGAAAAAAATGAGCTGGTGTTTTCGAAATAAAAATAAATATTGCATATATTTGCTTGGAAATTAAAATTCTATTTGTACAACTTGTTAGTAAACACTGATTTTCACGTCACATATGCGTTAATTTTTTGTTGGCAAAGTCTAAGTCACTCACTCCTGTTAGTTCTGCCAAATTTAAGAACCACATCGACTCTTTTCGCCCCAAACTATGAAAAGTATTTACTGTTTTAATGGCAGAGTAGATAATGAGGGCATTGTCGTCGACAAAATACAACTCTGCTATGGGAAACGAAAACGGACGAATCGGTCTACCATGCATGATGAATTATTATAATATCAGAGGCAGGTGGCAGAAAATACGGGCGGAATAGCGTAAGGAAAAATCCATATCCGATGTTGCATAACTGAAGAAGACACGGTTAAGCGATTCACGAAGTGAATGCCTCTCACCAAAATCCACATTGATCGAGTTGATTCTGATTTTGACGGCGCATTTTTTTCTTGCGGTGACACACTGTTACGGTTCAGTAAGATTCGGTTTAAAATTAGATAAAGTAAATTGAGTTGTCGATGGCGTCAGCAAGTCATCAGGAAATACTTTACATTTCACTGCTCCTTGAAACTTAACAGCATTAGTGGAGCCTTTTAACTTATCACTTCTTTAGTTAATTGAGAGATTTATTGCGTAATTAAAGAGGTGAAAATTGTACTCCTCGCGTAATTATCGATCGTGCAACTTTTATGGTTCGCTGAGTGCATAAAGGTGCGAGCACATAGAGCACGATCACGACTGAGTAACCCTAAAGTGATATCTTAGAACTTTACGAACGGTCATGGTTTGATTGAACGCAAAACCGCAAAATGCCTATACTTTTTACGAAATGATTCACTTTCGCGTTGAAGACTTTTGTTAGTTAAATGAGATTAGCGAGAAAGTGGTGTTTTCTAAAAATAAACGAATACGTTGAAAATGAACATTTTTCCGTCGCATGGCGTTGGAGTGTGGTTATCACTGTGCTGAATAGCTTGGACGCCCTAGATGTTCATTAAAATTAATGTGCGCTGCCAGTATGACCCTCAGTGAATTTTAAAGTAATCAACTATCGCATGTGAAAATGTTTTGATTCAATGACTAACGCGGATTGCGGATGATTCATCTCACATTGACAAACAAGCTGTATCCACCGTAAATTTTATTGCACAACAAAAAATTTCAGAAATGCCATAAAAGTTGTTTCTAACTGTATCATTGGAGCAGTATTGTTGTTTTTGACACGAAAAGTCCTAAACCGTTACCTACTCAAGAAACCAAGAAACGAACGCGCTTTTCACGTCGGTTTCTAATAGCAAATCTTTTATTCGTCATGGAAAGTTGACGCGGTCCATTAATTTTTGTCTATTGATTGCCGTTTTTATTGTTTCCGCCGCAGTTTCTGCGTCTCCTGCGTTCCTTAATTGTTGCGACAGGTTAAAAGTCAAACTTTCACCGAAGTTATTTTGCATAGTTTTTGACCCTTTGGAGGAGTTATGTCTAATTTCGTAATATCGTTACAGTACAGTCTTCGTCAATTGGACCTGTCGCTCCTGTCGCAGCTGTGGTCCTTAAACGAATCCATACAGGACTTTCGTCAGATATTGCAGGACCAGGAGGACCGAGTTCTTTCGCCACCGTCACCGTCTCCTACACCTTCCTCTGGGGATGAGGGTGATGGCGATGAATTTTATATGTCTGCGAGTTCGATGAACTTTCGGACGCCTCCACCGCCTCTGCCGGTCAGAAGACCAAGTAGTTCCTCGAATGCGTCCAGTCTTGGTTAGGTTAGTGAATAATTTAAGGGTTTAAAGAAGAATGTTACTTTGTTTTTTTAGTAGATCAATTTTTTTAACTCACCTTGGACCACTGTTTTTAAATTTGAGTATATTCGAATGTGTAAGTGAAGTGAATAAATTAGGGTATTTAACAAATGTAATGGTAATGTTGTAACCTTGTGATAAAAGTCTTGCACTAATTAAAGTAGTATTGTACAAATCTTACCATAACTGTAAGACTAGATAAGGTTGAGAGTTGAGTGCGCGCGTTCGCGCGCATAGCGTCCTGTGTAATGTACTTGTAGTATTTTATTAATATCCTAACATGGACTGATATTAAAATAAAATGTTTGTATTTACTAAAAGTTTTATTTAACATAAGCATGTTTTTAGCATAATCTACAGTTTGTCGGAATGGGAAGATCATATAACACTGGTTAACTATGAAGTAAAGTCCGAACTTAAAAGAAGTTTTTATTAGATGTACAAGTTAAACTTACTTGGATCAACTCAAATTAATCTATTTGTTATAGCGCGCACGATGGTGTTTCAGAACTATCGGCTTTAAACGTACAAAGGCAAGTCCTGCTTCCGCTACCATTAGGGACACAAATGTGATCAGGTGGACACTGATCTTTGTGATATTGGCAGACGTTGGTAAGTGTGGGACAACTCTGTGGAACCGCTACCAAACCGAATAATTTATTACCGCTTCCTCCTAAAGGCACATCCAAAGGTTTTAAGCGTGTTAGAGAATGTTTCTCCGCCCGCTCGATTTTTTTCCTGAGATAATCCGCATTTTATTTGAGTTGTTTATGTTTGCATACTTACGTGATCCAGTCGGACCAATAAATGTGTTTGTCCGTAACTGTTATACCAAACGGATATGTACAGTTCGTTGCAACAGTTCGTCTAACTTTAGTATCTATATCAACACATTCGATCTTCTTGGTTCCTGCATCCGCATAGCATAATTGTTCTGTGTCGTAGTCGATGGTGAGAGAATTGGGGAGCGAATCGGGTTCACCTTGAAGGAAAATAGCCCTTGCTGTCCCGTCGGCATTGGCCCACTCGATTTTAGGGTTTTTCCTGTCCCAGTCGGTCCAGAAGATTTTCCTGTAACGTAACTTAACGACACGGTTTTTGTTTCTGGCACCGTAATTACCCTCTTTGTGGATGTACGGCGATACCTCTAGGATTGACTAAACTGTCGTTGAACAGCACCCGCCTACGTTTGCCTTCAATACTTGCGACTTCTATTGTGTCTCTAGTGGAGTCGGTCCAGTATATATTCCGCGATACCCAATCAACTGCCAGACCCTCAGGCGAACCAATATCTGGAAAGTTTTGTTGAAGTGTGTGATTTTTTATGTTTGTGTCTACCTTGTGTGATAAAGTCTGCCTTTCCACTACTATTATAAGCGGAACTTCGAATTGCCATTCCGCTAATGTCGCTCCAGTACACCCTCCCTTCATAACAGTCAATTTCCAGCCCAACCGCCGTCTGGAACAACTTAATCTGTATCGGTTTCCCCAGATTTTTCTTCGAAGGTTCGAACGGAATCTTCAACGTTGCCATTCCTTGATTCACTAGTAAGAAGTTGCCTTCGTGTGTGGGATTGCGTCGACAAAAGGTACCATTGCCGGTGTATCCAGCGCCACATTGACAAATGTATCTGCGGCTTGCATCAGTCACGCACGTGGCTTGAGGGTCACATATGGTCGGGTCAACGTGACAATTGATCTCCGTGTAACAAACAAATCCGTCACCATAAAATCCTTTTTCGCACTGACACTGGTACAAAGTGGTGGACGCATCGTATTCGCAAGTGGCATGCAAACCGCAATTATTCTGAACATTGCAACCAATGGGTCGAGGTTTGCACTCGGTTATGCCGTCACCCATGAAACCACTTTTGCACGAGCAGTAATATAATTGGTAAGTTTCGTCAAAAAGACATTCTGCGTTGTCGACGCAGTTGCCGCCTCCACATGTACCCGGTTGGACGCATTGGTTTTGGGAATCTCGGACGTAGCCTTCTTTGCACACGCATTCGTACCGTTCCGAACTAGTGTAGAGACATTCTTCTGTTTGTGTGCAGTCATTGTTTGAAGTGCACATTGCTGAAGCCATGGATTAGATAGGGTAAGCGGAAGAATGTTGTGTTACCTGTTATGGTACAGTTGAAACCATCGCCTTGGTAACCTGGATTACAAACGCATCTTGATTTTCCTAGCGATTCGTCGTAGTAGCAGTTGGCGTTAGTACCACAGTTGTATTGTTGGGCACAAGAAGTGGTAGACAGTTCGCAGGTGTAGCCATCACCAGTGAAACCTTGGTTACACTGACAAGAAAAGGCGTCCGTTTCGGATGAGTACACGCACTGGGCGTTGCGGTCACAGTTGTTTAAGGTGTTACAGGTAACTGAAAGAGTCATTGTTGTTAATAAAAAAATAAGAATGTTAATGAGTGTGTACTGTTAAACCCTGAAAATCCCTTCGTGTTATGTTTTTGATCGGTATTTATGGAACAAGAATTGGTAGATTGCACTAAATGGAATCCACGTGGACAAAAACAAATAGAGGAGTTGTAACACTGAACTTCTGGAGTTTCTAGGGTTACTATATAAATATGTTAAAGTGGCATACAGTTCACCTACCATTGTCCAAAACTGTAGTCGTTTCAGGACTAACCGTCGTAGTTTGATCCTTCGGTATGCAGTATGCTGTACCTTGTTCTATACTATATCCTTCTGGACACCAACATACCCCTAAAAGACACCTTTGAATTTCTCTAGAAGACGTAGCTTCAGTAGCATCTTCAGTTTCAATTTTTCTGCAGTTATAACCATCTCCTTCATAACCCGGTAAACAAGCACAGTAGTAACTACTCGTGGTTTGATTGATCGTGCAGACCGCAAATTGTGCACAGTTGTTTACAGTGTGACAACTATTATCAACCAAAGCTGTACAAGTCTGACCATCTCCAGTAAACCCAGGCAGACATGTACACATTGCCACTCTATTAGTTTCAATACACTCGGAATTCGGAGGGCATTCAACATTATGACAAGAAAACTCATTTTCGCATACGTGACCGCTTCCAGTGAATCCTGGATTACATTTACAAGAATATGAACCGATTTCGTTAATACATTGAGCGTTATAGTCGCAACTGTGCAGCCCGGATTGGCACTCATCAACGTCAGCACAGATCGTTTCGTTCCCAGAAACAAGTTGCTGGTAGCCTTGATTACAAACACACCGGAAAGAATCATTGTCGACCACGCAGGCACTGTTGATCATACACTGGGAGCGACCTTCTTCGCACGGATCAACATCTAAAATTTTACAAAAATGTAGCTATTTTGGACCTTCTTGTAACACAACTCACCTCCTAGTGGCATTATCTTGTTAGTTAGCCCAAAACGGATGATCTGCTCTTTACTCTCGTAACTTATAAAGTTTTTTCCAACCTTTAGCCTCCATGTCTCACCTAGTGAAGTATTTTCGACCTTACAGTAATCAAAAGTGTAAACTTGATCCAGATCGTAAAAAAGCGTGACCTGTTCATTGTGTTCGTTAACGTACACAAATGATCGAGTTGACGACATTTGGATAACCCCAGGAGCGGTTTGAGTGTACTGTTCTTGGTATTCGTCCACGGTGATTTTGGAGTCGTGTGGTAATTTAGGAATCTCGCCTTGAATGTTTGCTTCTAGACGAAGTTGGTCGAAAACGTCGAGGCCAAGATATCGTTGTCTGATCGTAACGGTTTGACTCGTATTCAAAAATTTTAAGGTGGCCGTGTGGTTGAAAACACCACCCGTAAATTGGTAACCATTCTGGGCATTTCGTATGGGTTTAGCAAACACGTAGCCGATGACACCCCCAAGGATTTGTAGCGACTGTATGTCGAAACCTATCGCTTCGGGAATTTTTGAAATAGCTGTGTAGGCGCGTCCGTCTACCATGACGATGTACGACTGCAAGTCCAAATTCTCCAGTTTTTCGTCGTTGATCTTGCCGTTGATTTTGCCGTTGACTCGAAGCGGCACATCTAGAAAATGATTATTAATTTTAGGAATAAAGGTTTCTTTTCTTTAGTTACTGCTATAGTACACCTTTCTTTACACAGAATTTGCCGTTTCCATAGTACTGCTTCTTGCACTGGCAGCAAAATCCTTCGTCGTAGTCGATACATCTCGCTTGGACATGACAGTAAGTCGGTGCGTCTGCACAGGTCAAGGGACCACCCTCGGGTCCAACGTCATCCGTAATTAAATCCGGTGGGGCAATTTCGCTTCCGTCAACCCTGTAAATGAACTGTCCGGGGAGATCAATGTTTGACCACCTAAAACGAAATTTTTATTTTTAGAATACAGTATTTGAAACGGAACATACACTTCGAGGTTTCTAACTTGTTCCGTTCCAGACCCCGGAAGAGTAAATATTTTTCCGTCAGCTGAGATAAATCCAGCTTGTGCTCTTGCATCTGGTAGTCCTGACTCATCGCCAGTCCCTTGAATCCACTGAATGCCTTCTTTAGGATATAAGAGTTCGACGAATGATTGAGAGCCATCGCTAATGACGACTACTTGATAAGTATTGACTTTGTCGGTTCCTTTGTTAAAGTAGCCGACGCCAGACCACGTCACAATAAATAAACTAGTGGCTTGAAATTCTTCCTGGTCTGAGAAATACTCTCTTACGTTCTCCGTCGCCCGATGTATTAATGAAGATTTGTCAGTTTCATAATAGGAGACAGTTCCAGCCCCACGCGTATCGACGTTGGTATAAAACGGGGCTATAAGTGGGTAATCTAAAGGGAACTCGATATTGAAAAAATTTGGAATCTCTGTTTGAAACGAGATGAGGCCGTTGGAGTTCACCTGCAACACGCATTGATAAGACATCTTGCAACTAAGTTGTTTAATAATAAACATGTTTTGTTTTGAATATCGAACTTATCGCGGCTGCTATTTTTAGCCTAATGAATGAATATATAGGAAATTTTGATAAAATTAGAAGTTCAATAACCTAATTATAGAAAAATTTCAACAATGTACAATTTGCTGACTCTATGAACTGAGAAATAGCATGCAATTATATCAACATTCCATTACTTACGAATATGGAGGTGAATCGTGTACCGTAAAACACAATTGGAACTTTAAGTTTAATCTCTGGACTAGACACATCGTTCTGTTTTGGTAATTTAATGGCTTCTTGGACGTCGTGTTCGTATAAAAGACCCACAGGTATCGCAGAGACGCTTCTTAAAAATAGGATACAACAGCAAAAGATTCGTAGCAACTTCATTTTCTTCGAGTACTGAATAACTGAAGACTTATCAATATTCAAATAATCTCTCATATCGTCTTGAGTTCACAGTTCAAAAGAGCCTGCATGTTGTGACATTCATTATCTGCCTCATTAGATAGTTATAACAATGAGTTCATTTAAAGAACGGAAGGCTTGCCTTTATGTCATCTGTGTAAGAATAAATGCGTCTTTTATGTCGGCACGTTAAAATTTATGTTGTTTTCATTTGCTCGCTTTTTCTACGTGAACATTTGAATGTTCGCTTTGATGTTTGATTTTTGGTCTGGCGCCATCTGCGGTCTCGTCGGATCGTTATTGCGATTGTCCAGATAGCCAGCTGTTTAGGTAACGCTTTCACGTGCGTCCGGCTAAAAGAGCTATGCTTGAAAAGATGGCGGCAGCATTCTGTTGGCTGATTATATGATCAGTTGTGGTTCACACAGGGTCCTCGATCAAAAATAATCTTGATCAACTATAAACTTTTGCTTTTCAACTAGATTATCTTTTTTGCCAAGGGGATATTGTAACGCTAACTTTTAAAACAGATACTTCGAAGTGAAATAACTTTAATTCCGCTTTCAGATCAATGTAAATGTTGTTTCTGCTCTTTAAATAAGTTCCCTTTAGGCTCTCTTTTGTATAAAATATGACTTGGAAGTAAATTAAAGATGTTGGTGTGAACATCATGCAGGAATTCGTTATTTTATATAAGTTACATTTCTCCGAGGACATAATTATTTGATTCTTTTAATGACTTACTATAAAATTGTATTGTTTTTCTTTCAAAAAATCTTACATGTTTGTGAACATTTTTTACACTATAACAAGACTCTGGAGTTAAGACACATATGAACTATATTTTAAAAGCAGAAATACAGAAAGGTCAGGCAGTGGAAAGGTCCCAATTTGAAAGCAAGGTGTTTGGTAAATAGTTTATTATATACTCAATACAACTGCAATAATTCTAACAGCTATTTTACAAATAAATTCAAATGATTAATAATAACAGTATAAAATCGAAATAAATACACAAATTTACACTAATTTACATTTCATATAAATCTGAACGAACAAAAAGCCGTTGAATATAACTACTTACGCAGTTTATCACAAATAAAATGTTCATATTACAAGTTGTATATAAAGAAGCTTTGTATAAAATTTAGATGTCGAGATCAAAATTGACAAGCAGTCTTAGCTTATGGAGTATCTATTTAGAAAGTCAGTTGGCAAGATATCATTTTGATCCCTCAAAAGTTAATGATATGCAGGAAGTAAATAATAATATCGATACCAAAATAGATGTACATGCCAAGTTCGGTAATATCCTTAAATTATATTATATGTTAAATGATATAAATGATTCTAAAGATAAATTTGACACATTTCGACGTATACGATTGATACTGTTTCGTTGCATAACATATGATGTTATAAATGCGCGTACAAAAGCGTTCTCTACTGGGGGAGTTTAGTGAAAAAATATGTGATGTTACATTAATGTAGTGAGATACAAAACGACGAAAGTCTTTAAATTGATAACATGTTATCACATTATATTTATTAGTAGCTGTACATAGAATAAGTAATGAACTGCTCGTAGTACGAGCGCCATCCTGTCCACGATTCTCCAAGTAAAATTTTCAAGAAATTAACAATGTAAACATAATGATGACAACAATTATTCGATTTAAAAACTTTACTGGATTATTAAGTTCGGCTTCCTGAGATCACACAAGCTACGAGTCTGGTTCAAATTATTACAGCGGGAAAAGAAGCCTTCGGAAAATATCGTTTTTTCCAATTCAGTCTTCAATAGAACAACAAAAGTAAGATATGAAACAGGCAGCTTCCAGCTTACTCAACTTTTTGGTGTCAAATTTGGACCACCACTCGCTTGACTAACAAAGTAATGTCTGTTAATGCTACCAAGCTTTTAGAAATGAGTCTCGGGCGGGTCATCGATATATTTACATGTAAATGGATTAAGAAACCAGGAACAGAAAGATTTTTCGTGTTTATGTTTGCATTTACCCCTACGTCCATGTAAATTGTGCGACATTCTACTAGTATCAGAATCAATGCTAGAACTCTCACTATCCCTAACGACACTGTCGTAGCCGCTCTCAGCCCTTCTGCTTATAGCAGCAGGACTATGCTTCGACGTCCTCGGGGTGGAGTCGTGCCCGCTGTCGTATCCTTCCGACTTTTGGGTCAACTTAATAGCGGTCACACCTGATTCTATGCTAAGTATGGCTCTATTCATTCTTTCGACGGATGGAAGACTATTGGGGGGAGGCAAAGGTGGCGCAACAGGCTTAGAAGTCTCAGAAGTTGAAGCTCCGTTTCCACGTACCCTGGATTCTTCCCGTAAATTCGGATTGGAGGCGCCATCTGGATGGCGTAAATAAGCTAAATTATGGTCAGTACCGTAATTGTGACAGTACCTTTGAAACCTTCCGCCTAATCCATCGGACTTCTTCTCCGTTAAATCTTGAGTACTTGCAGATAAATACATATCGGTGTACCAATTCTGGGCGGTTGCTGGTCTGGCCATGTTTATTTTACAATTTTCGCAGAACTTTTCTTGCACGTAGGCCGGTTCGCTGTAAATGCTCCCGTTGTCATGGACTCCTCCGTAAAGCATGTCCGTGAGCGATAAGGATTCACATCTACTGAGCGTCCGGTGATTCTGTTTCTGGCTTTGATAAGTTTCGGAATTTGCCACATTTGCTTTAGCTAACCTGTTGGTATACAGCTGGTGCAAACGTGCCAATTGGTCGAATTTTTTCTGAGTAGTTTCGTCCAAATTTCCGTTGCGAGGATAAGGGTTATCGGGGTCTTCGTAATCGTCGTTGCATAGGCCGTAACGTGTATCGTATCGATGTCTCGGTAATATTCGTTCTAAGTCGGTATAAACTGACATGGAATCCGTGAAGGTGGACACTACTGTGAGGTTTTCTTGGCTTAGAATGCGTAAAGGGTGGTCGAGGGGGTTTTCTTGGTCTACTTCGGGTAGAGGGTTTTCTATATAACCCATACACAAAGCGATGTCTTCTTCGGTTACTTGTAAGCAGCAGTCTTGAGTGGGGACAGGTTCTAGAGGTTCTTCTACTTCGATGATTTCTAAAACTTCGTCTTCGTCGCTTCCGACGTTCTCTTCGTAACTGTTGTTTTGGTAATTGTTGTATTCGGCATTCGACAACATTCGTTCTTTGAGTAACATATCAAGACTCTCTAGAGACACTTCTCGGCTGCTGAGAGGTTGAATCAGTGGTAGCGCCGGAGGAATTTCCACTGCTTCTTCTTCGTCTTCTAAATCTTCTTCACCGTCAGGGTCGCCGTAGTCTTTTTCGTCTGGGGTCTGACATTCCGGGATTGCATCGTTCTTAGCTGACGTCAACTTTAACCCAGTTCTTATGGTGGACTCCTCCACGTTTTCTTGCTTCCTAGTGTCAAGCGGTTTGACGACTTCATCTTCGTACGTCTTGAACTGCGTCATTTCCTTGAGTGGTTCTTTGTACGCTTTCTGTTCTTGCATTCTCGGATGGACGTACTTCGCCCTCTGGATTTGTGACGTCTGGTGTTCCACCCACTTCCTGATCATGTTCTTTTTGTGGCTGTCCATGTACCCGTAGCCGGTCGTATTCTCAGCCTGCATGGGTCCATCAATCCAAGTCTCCCGTTTCTTTACGTGACAAGGTTCCTTCATGAGGTGTCTCGCTTCGGCGACTTTAGATTTAGAAATTCTCGGTCCGTCTATCCATTGTTCGTCGCTGGCTCCGTTAACTGAATGTTTAACGGCGTCGGACTTGCTCTTGGCAGCGGGGGCTCTGCTCGGCGACGACTTTGGCGAGTTGGTGTGAGCAGGGGAGGTCTTATTACTTTGGCACGAATTTTTAATCGACGGACGATGACTCTGCGCTTTGTCTTCGCATTTCGTAGGAACTTTGGAGGGGCGCTGCTCGGCGCTGGAGCCGCGCAGAGCCTTGCTCATCGAGCAGCGGTTGTCCCCGGAGTTGAGGCTGGGGATGTAGACCGGGGGATGCTCTCCGTCGGTGGCGTCGTCCGCCGGCCCGACGTAGATGACCGTGTCCGCGGACAGGTCGCTGCTGGAGGGATCCGGCTCGCTGCTGGTGCCGGTGGTGCGCGTCGGCTCCTCCCCCGAGCTGCCCCCCGAGCCGTTTCCGGTGCCCGCCGAAACGAACTTGATCCGCCGCCGCCGCATCCGGTGGATCCTGGAGGCTAATTGCACGGTCGTTAAGGTATCGGAGTAGTTCTGCGCGGATGGAGACACGTGAGCTATCATGGCCGCGTGACAAGTGAGCGAGCTGAGGCAGTCTTTCAGTAGTTGTGTCAATTTGTGTTCTTTGTAAGGTAAGTGCTTCTGGCCGTTGAATATTGCGAGTAGGATATTTCCGACTCCGGAAAGCGGGATTCCACCACTTGCTTTGCCTCGTTCTGAATTGCCCAGGTCGATCAGATGCAGACGACTCCTGCCGCCGGCGACTGAAACAATTTTTCACTTCAGGAAAAAATTCAGATAACGCCCGCCAACTTGGGGACTATCGCGAACTGTATGCACGAGAGAGCCGATAAGAAATCCAATTATCATAAATTTAGGGCTATAATGATCGCCAACAATTACAATTTCTTGCCTTATTTGGATTTTTTTTTTTTAATTTAAAAACAATATTCTACAAACAGGGTCAGTTAAGAGAGCTGAAACGCTAAAATTATTCCATCTGTCAGATTTGAACAGTGGTTTGAGGAAGATTAATAGTTTAATTGCCTTCGAAAATACCGAAACAGTATCTAATAACTGTGCTAGTTGTAAATAATTAAAAAAAATTTGTAATTCTTCACCAGACTGTTTTTTTCTTTGTAGATAATAACATGTAAGTACCGAGAGAACAATAAAAAACATAATCAAAGCTAGCTATATGCTTTTGAAAGTTTGTCTTTGATTTTCAACTCAAACTTTCAAATTAACGGCAATCTGACAAAACGAAATTTCTATCAAAGACAAATCTTCAAAAATTCATGGCTGTTTTTGATCGTGTTTTTTATTGCTTTCTTGATGTTTATAATCTATGTGTATATGCAACCAGTATAACAGCCATGTTACTTTGTAGCAACTTTATAGGTTTACGTCGGTTTGTTCGTATTTAATAATTATTTCTTTTAAATTTAGTAAAGTAGTTATATATTGTACATGTTATCGTTGTTTGACCAATAATAGTATTAAAAAAAACACTGAAAGACTGATTGGTAGCTTTAATACATGATGCATTCTTTTCCTATGGTTGTAGACTAGAAATATCATGAGAAGAACAGGTTTGATCAGTGGCGATCATTTGCGATTTGAAATGAAGGCATTGTAAAAATATATATATATATATTTTTATACATATGTCTATTGTGTACTTGGTGGCAGTTTGAAGACGTTAAAGTCCTCTTCAAACTTAAAAAGAGTTCAAAAGAAATTAGTTTATTATAGGGATCGTACATATTATATATAGTCATGTAACATTTTCTTTTGCTAAAAACATATCTCTTTCATCAATCAATTTCGGCTTCCCCGTACACACGTCCTCTCTGCCACCACTTACCGCCCCCCTTTCCAGCGACGCTGTACTGATAAACGTGCAAAGTAAACAAAAGATGGGAATCCCTGGTGTCCTCTCTCGTGGGTGCCCTGCACTCGATAGCTGCATCCAAGTAGTGAGCCGCCTTCTCCGCCGTGGGCACCCGCAGTTCGCAGTGCGGGGGCTGGTTGCCAAACAAGGGGTCGTCTCTCAGGTAGACGCCGGGGGATTGCTCCGAGTCTGCTGGAACAAAACGGGCTACTCAGTAAATAGTCTGCGGATACGGGCAAACAGGCCTTAAAGAGGACAATACGACCGAAGCGGTTGCATGCTATTCTCGCAACTGTGCAAATTTAATCCTTGCGTAAACAAGGTTGCCTATGCGCGGAAGCCCGAGCGAGCAACGTGCACTGGTTCACATACCGCACGTCACCTTATACACGCTTACGAATTTGTAAAAGCATATCTGCGAAAAGATTAAACATAAACAAAGGTAAAATGATGTATGGGGTATCAGACTTCAGACGTTCAACCATCCATCATAGTCGGAGCGGCGGCCGCGAAAGAAATAGACACGTATGCGACAGCTAAAATAAGAGTTGTGCGGTTGCGGTGTGGATTTCTGCTAAAATAAAATGTGTTTGTTTACAACACAATGAAATACATAGTTGCAGGCTGTCAAGTTTGACGTACAATTGTACCAATTTAATGTTCATGTATACGAAGTCATTCACGAGTAATAATGAACCTGATAGATTTGGGAATGCAACCCAGAATACATTTTCAAAATTTTTCTATATGTTTTTATTTACTCCTATTTAATATAACGATCGTTAATTATAGTAGTAATCTCGGACGTTACGTGTATAATATTTTTGATAAATTGAAAAAAAAAATCTACGAAAATTCTGGTTATATCTTCGGGTTGTAAGGGCTCATTGAATCATCATATAGAACTTGCTTTGTGTCTCTTCGATACTAAAGTGATGTAGTTGATAGAATTTGTTTTAAGTGCATCTGTTGTTTATGCAAATTTTCCATTCCATCTGCCTAGAATATTAGTGAATTGTAACGTTGTAATATGTCTATTTCGCTCGGGATCACAGGACAACCCATTAGCCAACAACTAGGAACTAGGTTCCATGAACTAGGACACAAGAACAGGGCCCAAAACGCGAGAAACTCTCAAATTTTCCTTTGCTTATTATTATTTATGTATAAAGGGAAATTTGTATGTATAATTTAATTAAAACGTAATTTTTATAACTAATTATCTGATGTACGTAACCTTCAGTTGAATCATTTTTAGTTTGTAAGTCCAAACCCACGTATTGTAATTAATTAAGTCTGTTGCTAAAAAGGTCTTAAGCTTCAGCAGAAAGCCGAACGTATTATATTATCAATGTAAACAAAAAATTCTAAAAAACTAGATATCTGTACTGACAATGCAGTTATGTCGAGAATATTTAGATTTTATCAACTGGGAATTTATCGATAGGGACATATCAAGCAACAAATTTTCTATGTGTTTAAAGACAGATGTTCAATAAACGATTATAACATTCAAGTGGGCACTGATTTGCTCCGTCTCCTTCAGAGGGTGTAACTGTAATGGCAACGACAGTTCAAATGTAATAACTATTCTGACAGATGATATGATGATATTAACCATATTCATTAAAACTTTAAAAATGTTTACCATTACCTACTAAGAAGTGACAAATCAGTCACATTTTTTAATTTCACAATAAGCTACTGGGCCTAAGAAATATTTATGAAAGCTCCATATAATTATGTTACACCATGGAGATGTAACATTATTGGATTTTTACATAGCGTTTTCTGAAAAACAGTTGCATGTTACACATAGTAACTCCACTCCAAATAAATTTAGGTTCACTTCAGAATTAACACCCATGAGAGAAATTCTGGCTTATTTAACTAACAACTTTTCCCGTGTCTTAAATAGAGTCAATAAAATAAATAAGTCTAATTTGTTAGGTAAATTAAAATTAAGTTCTGAAAATTGTTTTTTTTTTATGAAAGATAAATATGGGATAACGTTTTACCATCTTCTCAAAATATATTTAAAATTTCACAAATTTCCCCCATAAATGACACACTGACAATAGATGAAAATGGGACACCTACTTTTTCAAATTATAGGCTTTATGAAACATCGAGAAAACATAAAATTAATCTTTTGTTAAATGGATCCTCTTACAAGCTGACGTTCAGGAAGTAATAAATATATTTTATCCCTACAAAATTTCAAACATGATGCCAGTTATAGTGTATACAATAATCTTCAACTAATGTAGAAGCTCATTAATCGGGCTACCAAAATTAGAACACTAAAAATATGTAAGAACATTTCGAGCCGCTCTACAGTAACCCAAATTCGGTCTTGTATCTATCAGTACATATGATCGAGACAAAAAGTCGTCTAGCAACCGATGAAATTTAATGTTAAAAAAAATAACTACTGCTCTTTTCCTAGCTGCCAATACATATTGTTAGGAAATAAACCCATACGCCGCCCGGGTACGACGCCTATGGGTTTTCTGGTATGTGCGCGATGATGGCTCGGCCGGACGGCGTTCGCTAAAGAAAAGCCTGGAAGCGGAAGTCGCGATGGGTGCTCCAGAACCAGCCTAGAAGCGGTGACGGCGATCTTTCGAAAAGGACCGCGTGGTGTTTAAATGGGAACGACCGTCGGGAGCACGGGGTGAAGTTCGGACAGTGGGAGAAGTAGAGTCTAGTCAAATCCATTTCAATCGGAATTATTGTGTAGATAATCGTTGTGTGATTAGTCGTGTAAATTTGAATTACTAAGAAATAAATGTTGAGTTTTACTCACGCCGATTTTATTCACCGATCTTCGTAACAATATTTTCAAAAATTCTCTGTAGGAACAACCGTTCCCACAAAATCAGGTGTTCTACCTGAGGGCATTTGTAATATTTGTATAAATGTAAATATTTCCTATCCTTCGTCTACCTGCCCTACACTTCTTCATACTTTCTCTTTTCGCTTCTGGAACTTTCTAAACCCTTCTTTACCTACTTCCACCTCTTCAAATCCGAGCTTACCTGTGTACCATTTTAAACACCCTTCCTTCTTCTCCCTGGCACCGTCGAACAGTAAACAACGAAATAAAATCTCAAAACCGTACCGTCGCTTTTAAATCACCAACAATACCCACAACTGGTGACCCCGACGTGATTGAAAGAAGAAAAAAACGTGAGTATTACCAGTGATCGCGACGAGTAGAGTGCGGAATTTCGAGAGAAAATCAAAAACAATGGCGCCAAACGATACAAATAGCCCGTCAGTCGATCGCGTTGCCGTAAAAGTTCCACCGTTTTTGCCCCAGGATCCGGAATTATGGTTCCTGTTACTTGAAAGTGGTTTTGAAGCGTCGGGCATTACGCAAGAAAGCACTAAATTTGGTTACGCGGTCGGCGCCCTGGATGCGAAATACGCGGTCGAGATACGCGATGTACTCCTAAAGCCCAAAAGCGAGCGGACATACGAACTGCTAAAACGCGAATTAATCAAACGGATGGGGACATCAAAGGAAGAAAACACGCGCCGCCTCCTGGAGGACGGTCCACTTGGGGACCGCAAACCCACGCAGTTCCTCCGCCACCTACGAGTTCTCGCCGGGACGGAGTTCCCAGAAGAGGTCCTACAGACGCTGTGGATGAGACGCTTGCCCACACACATGCAAGCGCTGCTGGCCGCGCACAAGGACCTCACGCTGGATAAGAGAGCCGAGATCGCGGACTCCGTTGCGGAAGCTTATGGTAACCTGGGTAAAATAGCCGAGACAACCGTATCACCCGCAACCCCGTCATCGACCCAGGAGCAATCGAGGATAGACGGACTGGAACGCACCTTGGCGGCCGTCTTGCAAAAGTTTGCTGCAATTGAGATCTCCCCAATATCGCAGCCTCAAGACCGTTCGCGACCGGACTCGCGGCCAGGCACATCATCATCATCGCGTTCGCGTTCGCGATCGGGATCTCGTGATCGAATAAAAGGCGACAGCGGTATTTGCTGGTACCACTGGCGTTTCGGCGACAAATCAAGAAGATGCGACAAGCCGTGTAGGTACAGTTCCCTACCGGCGGGAAACGCCGAGGGCAGTCGTTAAAGACGGCCATTGACGCCTGCCCCACCACCCCTACAACAACATCGAGCCGTTTATTCGTCACCGAGAGGACAACAGGTAAAAAATTCCTCATCGACACCGGCGCCGATCTGTGTGTGTTCCCGCATGCCCTGCTACCAAAACCGCGTACGAAGTCCGCATATGAACTTTCCGCGGCAAACGGCACCGTCATCGCAACGTACGGAACAATCACGTTGTCGTTGAATTTAGGCTTACGACGCGATTTTACGTGGAGATTTGTTGTCGCGGACGTGGTGAAACCCATTATCGGAGCCGACTTCCTGGCTCACTACGGACTCCTGGTGGACATAAGAAACCAGCGACTACACGATCAAATTACCCAACTCACTTCCATCGGAGAGGTGACTGAGTGTGAGATCCCGTCCGTAAAAACCATCGCCGGAAGTTCACCGTTCCACGAACTCCTCCAACGGTTTCCCGATGTCACACGTCCAGACGGAACCCCTAAGGCGGTGAAACATTCCACCCGCCACCACATCGTAACCACGCCGGGCCCTCCCATTGCGCAACGTCCCCGAAGACTCGCGCCCGACCGACTCCAGGCAGCAAGAAAAGAATTCGACGCCATGGTCCAGCTAGGAATCGCCCGCCCTTCCCAAAGTTCATGGTCTTCACCGCTTCACATGGTGCCCAAAAAGGGCGACGAATGGAGGCCATGCGGAGATTATCGTGCCCTCAACGCGAGAACCTGCCCCGACAGGTACCCGGTGAGGCACATCCAAGATTTTGCGCAATCCTTACACGGCAAAATCATATTTTCAACGATCGATCTGGTACGCGCATTCAACCAGATCCCGGTCGCAGAAGAAGACGTTCCGAAGACTGCCATTACCACCCCATTCGGCTTGTTTGAATTTCAATTCATGACGTTCGGCTTACGTAACGCAGCGCAGACGTTCCAGCGATTCATGGACGAGGTGTTGCAGGGTCTCGATTTTTGCTATGCATACATCGACGACATCCTCGTCGCATCCGCATCACCAGAAGAACACCTCCAGCACTTGGAAACTGTGTTTCAGCGTTTGAGAGAGTACGGCGTCGTTAT